GAACACTTACAACCCTACCATCATAACACTGCCCATCATTCTTATTTACTTCTTTCTGATCATTCTCTGTAACCATTCATACAGTAATTTGCATGAAAACAAGATAAAATTGTTTTATAAGTATGTACTTATTTTATTTTGAGTTGTAGGGTACATAGGAGGTTTTACTACATAAGTAAATTGGGCAACCATGACATTTGGGCTTCTAGTGAGCCCTTTCTCCTCCGATAGTGGACCTGGTACCCAGTGTGTGACTGTGTCCCCTGATCCCTCCCTCCTTTAGCAGTGTCCAGCGTCTGTTGTTCCTACCTTTGTGCTCACGTGACCAGTGATCAGGGCCTGCTTATGAGTGAGAACATGGGTATTCAGTTTTTTGTTTCTGTGATAGTTCACTTAGTATGATGGAAGAGGAAATTGTTTAAAATACAAAATACAGCCATGCCTCTCTGTAAGCTCTGGCCCTCTCCCCAATCTGGGGGAGATGGATCCCCTTCTCTCTCTCTCTAATCTACTTTCTAAATAAACCATGTTTTCCAATCTAAAATATAAAAATAAGCCGGGCTCGGTGGCTCAGCCTGTAATCCCACGCCTTTGGAATGCTGAGGTGAGTGGATTGCCTGAGCCCGCAGGTTCGAGACGCGCCTGGGCAACTTGGTGAGACCTCATCTCTACAATAAAATCAAAAAATTAGCCGGGCGTGGTAGCATGCACCTATAGTTCCAGCTGCTTGGAAGGCTGAGACGGAAGGATCGCCGGAGCCCAGCAGGTCCAGGCTGCGGTGGCCGGGAGCAGCCACTGCACTCCAGTCTGGGTGACAGAGTGAGACTCCAACTCAAAAAAAAAAAATGATAATAATAAATAAATAAATAAATAAAATATAAAAATAAAATACAAAATACACTAATACATGACTCAAGAAAAATTCAGCCTCAGAGTCTTCATTCTACAGCCAATTCACTAGACACTCAAGTCCTATTTCTCTATATAGGATAAAAGGGGGAAATGGACTACTAGTTACATTTGTTTATTCTACATATGCTATCTTCTTTATCACAGCAATCTTTTTTTTTTTTGAGTCAGAATCTTTCTCAGGCTAGAGTGCAGTGGCACGCTGCTCACAGCCACTGCAGCCTCGGCCTGCTGGGCTCAGGCGACCCTTCCACTTCAGCCTTCCAAGTAGCTGGAGCTACAGGAGTGTGCCACTATGCCCAGCTAATTTTTGATTTATTGTGGAGTTGAGGTCTCACCATGTTGCCCAGGCTGGTCTCGAACCTCTGGACTCAGGCAATCCTCTCACCTCCAACTCCCAAGATGCTGAGATTGCAGGTGTGAGCCACCACTCCTGGCTACACAGCAGCCCTTTTAAAGTAGATACTACTATCTCAATTATATAGGAAACTAAGGCTCTATTTTTTTTTTTTTTTTGAGTTGGAGTCTCTGTTGCCCAGACTGGAGTGCAGTGGCCGCTCCCGGCCACCGCAGCCTCAAACTCCTGGGCTCTGGCGATCCTTCCACCTCAGCCTTCCAAGTAACTGGAACTACAGGCACGCACCACCATGCCTGGCTAATTTTTGATTTATTATGGAGATGAGGTCTCGCCAAGTTGCCCAGGCAGATCTCAAACCCGCGGGCTCAGGCAATTCACTCACCTACCTCAGCCTCCCAAAGCGCAGGATTACAGGCTGAGCCACCGAGCCCGACTGGAAACGAAGGCTCAAAGAGGCTAAAAAATTACATAATTGAACCCCTAGAAAAATCATAAAACCAGATTCAAATCCTACTGTTAGTCTCTCTGACTCTAAAATCTGTGCTAAAAGTCAAAACCCAAGTCATACACTAGGGGAAAATATCTACAACACATACTACAAAAGGTTAAAGTTTCTAACAAGCAAGGATTCCACCACAATAGGTCTTTTTTTTTTTTTTTTTTTTGAGTCAGTCTTTCTCTGTCACCCAGGCTGAAGTACAGTGGCATGCTCATGGCCACCGCAGACTCGACCTGCTGGGTTCAGGTGATCCTTCCACCTCAGCCTTCCAAGTAACTGGAACTACAGGCACGCATCACCACGCCCAGTTAATTTTTTTTTTTTTAATTTATTGTAGAGATGAGGTCTCAACAACTTGGCCAGGCTGGTCTTGAATGCATGGCCTCAGACAATTCTCTAATCTCAGTCTCCCAAAGTGCAGACATTATAGGCGCACCTGGCCTCAAATAGATTTTATAAAGACAAATAGGAGCACAATTTTTAAAAATAAGTAGAAAATCCTATTAGGCAACACATTGAAAAGGATAAGGCAAAATGCCCAATAAACATTTGAAAAGACGAACTTCACTAGGAGTCAGGGAAATGCAAATTAAAGCAATTAGATACTATTTCTCACCATCATCTTGACAAAAATTTAGAAGAGTGATAACATTACATGCCAGTTACAAAGAAAAGGCCACTTTCTTACATGCTGGGGGAAGGGTAAATTGTTACAACCTTTTCCAGAAGTAACCTGACACAACATCAATCAAAATGTAAAACATGCATTCTGTTTGACCCTACTTATCACTTATTGGGATCAAGCTTCAAAAAAAACAAAAAGCATCAGTACATATATTCAAAGACATTTATTGTAGCCTTGCTCATGTTGGAAAAACAGGAACTGTTCATCAACAGTTCCCACTTGAATGAATGAAAATGTAGCCATATTTTGTAACAAAAACCCATAACAAAATTTGAGAATGGTAAAGTAATTCTCCAGATCAAGTAAAGCCCTAATCACTCCTTGATCTCTTTGTTCTCATAGACTATTTTTAATATACTTACATTTTTACAAATGTAGTGCTACATATCATGTTAATGAATTACTAATTAGTAGCCTATGAAAATGCTCCATTAAAATTTCATGTGATAATTTGACAAACTGTAAGTGTTTTTCAAAGAAAATGTATATCCATTCTTGGCAACTTTTAAAAGGTGTGAAAGTTAATTTGGTCTTGAAATCATGCTATTGATTCATTGGCAAAATTTTAAAAAGGTTTTGTATATATGAAAGCAAAAAGAAAATCTTTGCAAATTTCATTCCTCTCAGTTGATCAGACCACTTTTTAAATTATTTATTTATTTATTTATGTTTTTGAATTGGAGTCTCACTCTGTCGCCCAGACTGGAGTGCAGTGGCATGCTCCCGGCCACCGCAACCTCGACCTGCTGGGCTCTGGCGATCCTTACGCCTCAGCTTTCCAAGTAGCTGGAACTACAGGTGCGCGCTATCACGCCTGGCTAATTTTTTATTTATTGTAGAGATGAGGTCTCGCCAAGTTGCCCAGGCAGGTCTCAAACCTGCGGGCTCAGGCAATCCACTCACCTCAGTCTCCCAAAGCGCGGGATTACAGGCTGAGCCACCGAGCCCTGCTTCAGACCACTTTTTTAATCTTAGAGTATAGTAGCCAACATAATTCCACTTTAAGAAATAAAAGCTGGGCGTGGTGGCTCACGCCTGTAATCCCAGCACTTTGGCAGGCTGAGGCAGGAGAATCACTTGAACCCAGGAGTTTGAGATCAGCCTGGGCAATATAGTGAGACCGCATCTCTCTAAAAAAGAAAAGCAAAGAAATACATATATACTACTCAGAGTTATTGTACAGAAAAGAGGAAGTATAAAGAATGTGCACACACACACATGCATGCACACAAAGAACAAGAAAGCTATCTTCCAGGTACCTGATTTTAACATATTTCTGATCTCCAGTCTTCCTCTGCAAACTTAGACATCCTGGGCTCTTTCTTTCACTCTAGTTTCATAGAATTAAATGAGATAGTTACGTAAGAATTAAATGAGGTCTCCTTGAAGTACTCAAGGTTCTGGTTCCCTAGGTTTTCCCCAAAGTCCCCACAGGGACACATGACATGTAAAATCATGAATCTTTCCATGAGTCCCCACAAAACAATGTTATCTGTCCCTCTTCCAGTATCCCAATATATCACTTGCAGCTCTTATGACACTAGTTCAAAACTCTGAGTAAGAACTCTGATATCTGCATAACTGTGTTATTACCCATCAGACTGTATGCTCCTAGGGAGTTGGGTGTGTAGCTCAGAATCAGACCTCAAGTACTGGGAAGACCTGAGAATTCACCCAGTCCAATCACCTATGTCAAGTTCAGGGGCTCTCCAAAAATACTACTCTAAGCAGAGGAGTCTCTAATGGAGGACTTACCCTAACCCCCGCCTCCCCACTCCACAGCAGCTTGTTCCTTCTTGGGAAAAGTGTAGCTGCTAGAAAATGCTCCCATAAATGAAATTAAAATATTTTTCTGAAATTTGAATTTTTCTTTTTTTGAGTCAGAGTCTCAGTCACTCAGGCTGGAGTGTAGTGTCATGCTCAAGGCCATTACAGCCTTGACCTGCTATGCTCAGGTGATCCTTCCACCTCAACCTTCCAAGTAGCTGGAACCACAGACGCATGCCACCACACCTGGCTAATTTTTTATTTATTGTAGAGACGAAGTTGCTCAAGCTGATCTTCAATTCCTGGGCTCAGGCAATCCTCTAGCTTTCACCTCCCAAAGTGCTGGGATTATAATCCCAGTCTTACCTCTTGGTAATCTACTGAATAGATCAAATCCTTCTTTTTCGCAGGATAACTTGTGAAATATTAGAGACTTCACATGTTTTCTTCAATCTCCTAACTCAATGCTTTACACATTAAAAAACAAACAAACAGAAACAAAACAAAAAAAACATTAAATAACCTTCCACCATCACACATCAATGTACCAGGGGTGGGATAAGGTGGTTTCTCTACAAGATATATTTTTTCACTTTAAAATGGATATATAGTAGTTGTATAATACGTATGCTAAAAATATTTTATTGGTTTTATAATATGCCTTTTACTCTCTGGTTTTAAGAAAAATAATCAGGAATACAATAGCCAAGAATTCAGGAAGTCAGAATGTAAATACATTCTTCTACCACAATATTTCTCACTCCTTTAAGGTTTTCTCATCTCCACTGTAAGCAGTTTCTGTAATGCTGCTGGGATGCCCCTCGTGGACAAAGCTAGACAGGACAAGTTGTCCAGCTCTGCTAGGAAAAATCCATCTTCAGGTGGAAATTTCTTCTCACCTTCAAGATCCCCTGGGCTTCTTGGGTTGACTCAGGACATCATATGCCGCCTGGATCTCCAGGAAGTGCCTCTGTGCCTCCTCTGTCTGGTGCAGGTTGTGGTCTGGGTGCCAGACCTTTACTAGCTCTTGATAACTCCGATGTATTTCTTCACGTGTTGCCCCTTCCGAGAGGCCTAAAACCTTAGGGAAACAGAAACTGACAAATTAGAATCTCACAAGTTGTCTGGGCACCTGGGCGTCTCCCTGCACCTTTGTTAAATCAGGCTATGGTATCTCTGGAATTGGCTTCTATCTGTCCATGGCAAAGGCCCAGCACCCCAGGTTAGAATTCCAGCCTTTTGAAATGTGGACAAGCTCTTAATCTCATGGCAAGAGAGAGAATTTGTCTTTAATTACAACTGCTTATTTTCCAACCTAGAACTTCACACTCCTGACAAGATCTCCTCCCACAAGAGAAACAAATGTATATGTGTCCACCAAAGAAAGTACAAAAATTTATTTATAGTAGCCTCAAACTGGAAACAACCCAAAAGTCCATTTGGGTTTTTTGAGTTGGAGTCACTCTGTCGCCCAGGCTGGAGGGCAGTGGCATGCTCATGGCCACCAAGCTTCAACCTGCTGGGCTCAGATGATCCTTCCAACTTAGCCTTCCAAGTAGCTGGAACCACAGGCATCCACCATCACACCCAGCTAACTTTCTTGACATTGTAGAGATGAGCTGTCAAGTTGCCCAGGCTGGTCTCAAACCCGTAGGCTCAGGCAATCCTCTCATCTCGGCCTTCCAAAGTGCTAAACAACCCAAATGTTCATTAATGAAAGCATGAGTAAATAAATTGTGGTATAATCATACAATGAGATGCTATACAACAGTGAAAACAAATAATTTATAACTACATGCAACAGTATAAATAAATTTCATAAATATATTGGTGAATGAAAGACACTAGATGCAAAAAAACACATGATGGATGATTCCATTTATCTAAAGCTCAAGAATGGGCAAAACTGGCCGGACATGGCGGCTCACGGCTATAATCCCAGCACTTTGGGAGGTGGAGGCAAGAGGATTGCCTGAGCTCATGGGTTTGAGACCAGCCTGGGCAACATAGTGAGACCTTGTCTCTACAATAAATCAAAAATCAGCTGGGTGTGGTGGTGCACGCCTATAGTTCCAGCTACTTGGAAGACTGAGGCGGAAGGATCGCCTGAGCCCAGCAGGTCGAGGTTGTGGTGACTGTGAGCGTGCCACTGCACTCCAGTCTGGATGACAGAGTGAGACTCCAACTCAGAAAAAAAAAAAAAAAAAAAAAAGAATGGGCAAAACTAATCTATGGTGACAAAAGTCACAATACAGGTTACCTCTGAAGGTTTGAGTACTGGATAGACTGGAAAGGGGCATAAAGGAACCTTCTCTGTGCTGGGAATGTTTCAGATCTTGATCTGAGTGACACATACATAAAATTAGTGCACCTTATACATGTAGCATCTCAATAAAAAGTAAATAATACTGACCAGGTGTGTATTAATCAAGCCTAAAATCCCAGCACTTTGGGAAGCCAAGGCAAGAGGACTGCCTGAGCCCGCAGGTTCAAGATCAGCCTGGGCAACATGGTGAGACCTCGTCTCTACAATAAGTCAAAAAATTAGCTGGGCATGGTAGCACGCACCTGTAGTTCTGGCTACTTGGAAGCCTGAGGCGGAAGGATCACCTGAGCCCAGCAGGTCGAGGCTGCGGTGGCTGGGAGAATGCCACTGCACTCCAGCCTGGGCAACAGAGTGAGACTCCAATTAAAAAAAAAAAAAAAGCAAATAATATACATATGCATTTTCCCCACTCTCTATTAGAGCCTTTGTAACCTCTGCCCATTGCACAGAGATGCCCCAAGAAGCCTGAACACCCTTTCAGGGCCTGGCCAGTAGAGCCACATGAGGGACAACAGCTCCCACGAGGCTCAGCCTAACCCCAGAGTAATCCCAGACAGAAATGAGAGGGAAGAAAGCCTCACCTGGTAAGCCAGCTGACGCTTCTCATCCTGAAAACTCTGAACAAACTCATAGAGCTTCTCCCACTCCTGGAAATAGCTATTGCTGAAGCCAGGATCCCCCACCAGCAGCCTCCAGATCCGGTAAGGCAGAAGAAGGACAGACTCCATGAGGCGGCCGACAAGGGGGAAGAAGTTAAACCAACTCAGAAAGGAGCCGAGGGTTTCTGCCACGTAGCTGAGGGTGGCAGCTGTGTTGCAGAGGGCGCTGTACGCCAGCGGGCCTGTGAAAGCGAGGTAAGCCAAGCCCAGCCGGTAGAGCCGCAGGCTGAGAGTCTCTGACTCCACTGAAGCTTTGTAGCGGCGATGCTTCTGGGCTGTGATGCTGGCAGCCAAGCTGACGGGTAGGATGGCTATGGGGCGGCCATAGAAGATAGGGGACGTAAGAAATGCCACCCCTAGAGTGTTCTTAAAGTCTGAGGTCTGGTTGCCAACAGCAGCCACCAGCAAGACGCCTAAGCCAACTGCAAGTGGGAGGGCCACAGTGTAGAAGTTGGCCATGAAAGAAAGGCTAATCAGAGCTACAAGGCCAAAATAGATGCCCACTATTATCTGGGCAGCAAAGCGAATGGGACTCAGAGGGGGTGTCCCTCCTCCTGGGCTCTGCCTCTGCCCCTGGGCTCTGTTGGCTTGAGCTACAAAACTGGGGAGCTTCCAGAACTCCCAGAGCCAGCCCAGCCCACCTCCCCCCAGGGTAAGCATCCAAAGCAGGGCGTGACTGTCCCTTCCCAGGTACAGGTGATGGAGCCCAGCAGGGCCCCCTACAGCCCAGAGGGCATAGGTCACCAGGAGCCCCTTGGCCATCCTCTAGGGCAAGGGTCTCAGAACAAGTCCATGGCACCTGACATTGCTCAGAATGCAGAAATCCCAGGGTCCTCTGTGAGAATCTTAGTCCCTAAGAGATGGAAAAACAGCAGTCATAAGATTATACCCAGGCTCCAACACAGGAACCATTTCTTCCTCCAGTGAAAGTCAAGTCCAGATCTGCCTCCAGTTCCTGAAATGCTAGCTATCCCATATTCTCTGTCCTGGCACCCCGGTCCTGTTCTTTACAACCACGGCAACCCCAAATTTAGGGGGAAGACTACCCTCAGACCACTAAATCTGGAATGACTGCGGGGGGCGGGGGGCGCGGGCTGTGTAGGGGAAGGCTGAATCGCGCCTTTCCAACGCTCCCACATTCTGAAAGTCCCTGCCTCGCCCCCACTTAACTCCGACTAGCGCCGCTCTCAGACCATGCTGGCCCTGGCTTTAGCTCCTCTCCAGCCTTCCCAATTCTCCAGGCCATGATATTTCCCCCACAGGTCAAACTTGAAAGGGATCCCGAATTCCCTTCCCTAAAATATCCTGGAAAACTACATTTTGACCCAGACCTTGGCACCCCACAATTCAACTACTTTCTTAGGAGGCGGGCTTGAAATGCCTCTCCAAAGTAGCTGGACAAATCCTCCGAATATCAAACGTGCCAAGCGTGCCTGCCAGTCTCCCCTCTACGCGGAGCGGTCCAAACCACCACCAGTCAGTACCCGCTAGTCCCAGGTGGAGAGGCCCTACCTGGGTGTCCCCGGCTCCCTGACGGTGTCGGGCCGGTCATTTCCTTTGACCAAGTCAAAATGGCCCCAACTCACTCCGCTCCCACCTCCATCCAAGAGGACTTTGTGCCTGCTGTGTCACGGAAGTCAGGCCGTCCCGGGCCAGGCCCCACCCCGAGCTCCTCCCCGGCCTCCGGGGAATCACCTTCCCGCCCCCCGACTCCTCTCGCCCGCCCTCTCGGGGAAACTCGGCTGAAGACTCTCCAGAGGCCTCCAGCTCCAAAGGGCAGGCGCAGCGCCCCACCCCGGGCCCAGTGCGCCTCCTGCGCCGCGGCATCGAGGTCGCCAGGTGGCGCTGCCGCTTCCCGAAGGGCGGATCCGGGCGGGTCCGACTCACCTTGGGATGCCGAGGCACAGCGGCGCAGGGTGGTCCCTGCAAGAAGGGCTGCCCGGAGGAAGCAAGCAGACGGTCCTATCTGCAGTGCTAAAGACAGACAGGCGCCTATAAATGCAGGGATACACCCTCTTCTGCCCCTTCCCACCCCCACAAATCGAAGGGGACTCCTCCCTCACCCCCGGCGGCCGCTCGGCTCCGCACACTCAGCTGCTCTACTAGCCTGCCTTGGATGTTCCACTTACACTAAGGCAGAGACATCACAGGCTGCAGGGAGAGGCATCCCCTGCCCAGTTTGCCTCAACTCCCCCCCTCCCCCCAGGCCTCCCGATTGGGCGGCTCCACGTCTACATCCGAGTCCGAGACTTGAGGGGCCTCCAGATCCGGCGGGAGCCCCGAGGCTGCTCTGTCTCGCCGGTCACCGGCGAGAGGGAGAAATTGGAGCCAAGGGGGAGCTTCGGTAGGGAGCATCTGCCTCCCTGCCGCCTCTGCGCTGGATGGAGCTGGGATGCCAGACACCCTCATGTCAGTGCCCTGGGCTCCAGTCCCGGGTTCCACTCCATGACCTTGACCAAGTCGGACAGCTTCTTGGGCCTCAATGTCCTCCTCTGGAAAGGAGAGGTTTGCCTCTCTAAGGTCCCCGGTCTTGACTTGAGAGCGGGTTGGGCCCGGCGGGCCTCACCCGTGTCACCTCGCTGCCGCAGGCAGAGCGCTTCTGTTCCCTGCAAACCCCTCGCCCTTCGGTTCCCATCCTGACCCGGGGAGGAAAATGCAGCTCTCTAGAGGACCCCTCAGGGGGGGCTCCCTGGGGGGCCGGGCCGGGAAGGGGTCCCCGAGTGAGCCTCAGCCCGCTGGGGTCGGGGGCGGACTGGGGCGCTGAATAATGAATGAGACTTAATTGGGCCCGCACTGCGCGGCGGCGCGCTAAGCTTTGCAAACAGCGCGGGCGGCGGCGGCCACCGCTGGACAAACAAACTCGCTCGCCGCACGGGGAGCGGGTGGGGACTGCAGCCGCGAAGGAGGAGGGACGGGCCCGCCGCCTCCGGGACCGGGCCTGGGGAACCGGGAGCGCGCGGCTGCGCCTGCCTCCCGGAGAGTGGGGGCTCAGGAGGGGGCTCCAGGCTCGATCTCCGGGGCCGAGGGCTGGGGAGCGAGAGCCAGGGGCCCAAGGGCAGTGTGAGCGCGAGGAAAAGATGGAGAAGCGAGTGGAGGGCGGAGGAGAGGGGAGAAGCCGGCGAGGGAAAGCGCGTCGGGGGAGGAGGCGGGAGAAGAGCCGTTACCGGGAGGAAAGGGGAGAGCGATGGACGAACGAGCGAAGGAAGGCGCGAGGGGCCGGGAGGAGAGGAGTCGGAGAAAAGCCCGGGAGAGGCGTGGGAGGCGACCAGAATGAGAACGAGGGGCTGCCGCGCGGGCGGGCGGGCGGGGGGCGCCCCTGCCTCCGCCTCGCCCGCGGCGCTCCCGCCCCGGCGCTCTCTCCGGCCGCCCGCACTCACTTTGTCACAATTACGGGGCCGTCACTCGGCCCGGATTGTTTTCCCCAAATTGTTGTTCTGTAAACTGGCGCAGGGTGGGAGGTGGGGGGATCTGACAAGTTGAAGCGGGAGGAAAGGGTCTGAGCCTTGATGGGGACGCGGTGGCGCATTCACCCGCAAACGGACCTGGGATGGGGCGGAGGATCCAGAGACCCACGCCGGGATTCTGGCTGCCGCCCCGGTCGCTCCGCCGACCCCGCCTTTGACCTTTGGTCCTTCTCAGCCTCTGCTGCCTCGGTTTCCCCAGCAGAGCCCAACCAGAATTGGAGGGCAGAGGTGGCGGAGGCGGCCGTAGGTGGGGGCCAAACTTCCCTGCCCACCCCCCTTTTCTCTTGTTCTTTACTACCAGGGTCTCCCGGGCGAGGGTTGGGGCTGTCTTTCCCACCCAGCGGCTCCCAGAGTGCCCTGGAGTGCCTGCCCACACCAGCGGGTGAGGTTTCCGCGGTCGCCGGGTCTGGGCCGCCTCCTACCCCGCCGGCGACCTCCGACCCCCCACACTGAGCAGCTCAGCGTCGCAGACCACCTTGCTGTCCCTCAACCCGGCAAACATCTGTTGCGCGCCCGCTGAGTGCAGAGCTGCGCCAGCCTCCCCCGCCGCTT